GGAGCCCAGCAGGTCGAGACTGCGGTGGCCGGAAGCGGCCACTGCACTCCAGTCTGGGCGACAGAGTGAGACTCCAACTCAAAAAAAAAAAAAAAGAAAATCACCCAAATGGAATTAAAATGTGAAGAGTGCATTGAAGTAGGGCATACCGATACCCATAGAAGAAATGCTTTCCAGCATCAGAAGGTGATTGGAATCAACAAGCAGGTCTCGTGTGCTCACTTTGGGAGGTAAAGGTGAGAGGATCACTCGAGCCCAGGAGTTTGAGACCAGTATAAACAACATAATGAGATCTTGTCTCTACAAAAAATAAAAAAATTAGCTGTTTGTGGTGGTGCCAGTGCCTGTAGTCCCAGCTACTTGTGTGGCTGAGGTGGAAGGATCACCAGAGCCCAGGAGATCAAAGCTGCTATGAACCGTGATCACTGTGATCATGCCATCACACTCCAGCCGGGGCAACAGAGTGAAACCCTGACTCAAAAAAAAAAAGAAAAGAAAAGAAAAAAAAAACCCAGTAAATAAAAAATATGGAGAGGAGGAATAGCAGCTAAGGGTGAAGGAATGAATATATAATAAGGGAAATCTGGTATTGTATTAACTCTCAAGAGGTTCAGAGCAAGAGATGACATGGTCTCTTAGCTCAATTACACCAGAAGCCTGAAAGAGTGGGGACATATATTGCTGAGATTGCTCTTGCACGTGAACCTGACAAGACCCAATGGAAGCAGACAGAACTAAGTGGTCTCAGCCTGGGCGACATTTTCATGCAATATGATGACAAATTAAATACTAGTGACTACATGGGAATGTAGTAATGTGCCATAACTCTGAACTGTTGTAATCTTTTTGCTATGGGGAATCTGTGGTCAAAGAAAAGGCGCTAGCCGGGCTCGGTGGTTCAGCCTGTAATCCCATGCCTTTGGGAGGCTGAAGTGAGTGGATTGCCTGAGTCCGCGGGTTCAAGACGCGCCTGGGCAGCGAGACCTCATCTCTACAATAAATCAAAAAATCGGCCGGGCGTGGTAGCGCATGCCTGTAATTCCGGCTACTTGGAAGGCTGAGGCGGAAGGATCGCTGGAGCCCAGCAGGTCGAGGCTGCGGTGGCCGGGAGCAGCCACTGCACTCCAGTCTGGGCGACAGAGTGAGACTCCAACTCAAAAAAAAAAAAGAAAAGAAAAGGCGTTGTCCTATGGCATCACAGAGATTTGATCTTTTTTCCCACTTCCTGGCACATAGCTCCTAAAACCTTTGGAATTTCCTGAGTGATCAGGGTGGTAAGAGCCTCTTTTGTTCTAATGAAGCAACTCTTGTTGGGCCACTAGATAGCTTCAGTGTGGGGACTGGTCTCCAGAACAACCAAACCTTGATTGGAAGTTTAGAACTTTTAGCCTCAACTCCTCAACCTCTGGGTAAGAGAAGGCCTGGAAATTGAGTTAATCATCAATGGTCAGTGATTTAATTAAATGATTACTGATAATTTAGATCATTCAGTTATCGATGATTGAAAAACCCTTGAACGAGGTTTAGAGATTCTGAGTTGGTGAATACATCACGTGCCAGGAGGGTGTCACACCCCAGCTCTACGAGGATAGAAGCTCCAGTGCTTGGGACCCTTCCAGACCATGACCTATGCACCTCTTAACTTCCTGTTCATTTGTACCTTTTATAATAAACTGGTAATAGCAAGTAAAATGTTTTCCAGACTTTTGTGAACCATTTTAGCAAATTACTGAACATGAAGCAGGGGGCAGGAAGGGCTTGTGGGAACACCCTGTCAGCTAAAAACTGGGTAACTCAGGGACCAGATACTTGAGACTGGCATCTGCCAGGAAGGCATTCTTGTGGGCCTGAGCCCTTAAACCCATGGAGTGTGATGCTAACTCCAGAGTGGTATCAGAATTAAATTGAATTGTAGGACACACAGTTGGTGTCCAAAGAGTTACAGAATGGCTGGTGTGAGGAAAAAACCCACATATTTGATGTCAGAAGTGTGCTAAAAATAGCTTAGTCATGAATATCAATTCACAGGAGAAATGCAATAGTTCCTAAATACATGAAAATGTGCCCACTAATAAATGCATATAAAATGAAACATTTCACATATTAGAGTGGTGAAAAATAATTTTTAATGATAGCACAGTGTTATAAGGAAGAGGAAAACAAATACTATTATATCCTATTGGCCCAGAGTGGAGTGCAGTGGTATGCTCCCAGCCACCATAGCCTCGACCTGCTGGGCTTCGGCGATCCTTCCACCTCAGTCTTCCAAGTAGCTGGAACTACAGGCAGGCGCTACCATGCCTGGCTAATTTTTGATTTATTGTTGAGATGAGGTCTTGCCAAGTTGCCCAAGAGGGTCTTGAACCCGCTGGCTCAGGCAATCCACTGCTTTGGTCTCCCAAAGTGCTGGGATTATAGGCTGAGCCACTGAGCACGGTCTGATGAAACTTTTAAAAAGAAAATGTGACTACATTTATTCAAAGTTTTAAAATATTCTCACTCTTTGATCCTGAGGTTATACTTCTAGGAATCATTTTTTTTTTGAGACAGAGTTTCACTCTGCCACATGGTTGGAGTGCAGTGGCACAATCACAGCTCACTGTGTCCTCAACCTCCTGGGCTCAAGCGATCTTCCTGCCACAGCTTTCCAAGTAGCTGAACTACAGGCATGCACCACCATGTATGGCTAATTTTGCTATTTTTTGTAGAGATGAAGTCTTGCTTTGTTTCCCAGGAAGGTCTTGAACTCCTGGCCTCAACTGATCCTACCACCTTGGTCTCCCAAAGACCTGGGATTACAAGCATGAGCCACCACACCTGGCCTCACTTCTAGAAATCCGTTCCCTAAAATGCTACTAGACAATAGCAAAGCTATACATTCAAGATTACTCGCCGTGGCATTGTTTGTAATAGCAGCAAACTGGGAAAAACCACATGCCCATAAGTAAGAGAAGAGATGAGTAAAACACCACAGGTATACAATGCAACAACATTCTGCCTCTGGAAAGGCTGAGGCAAATTGGTAAGTGCTAAAATAAAAAGAGATTCGCATTATTCACTCAGAGAAGCAGATTACAAAATCATATGTCAGTACCATTCTGTCTTTGTTTTTCTAAATCTATTTATATAGATACATCCTACAGGCATGGAAAAAACTCGGACCACATAACAGCCAGTTGTTTATAGTGGCTGCCACAGCAGAGTGTGACTGGTGAGGAAGGAAAAACAGCTCACTTTTTTCATGTTTGTATTATTTGAATTTATGGAGCAAGTATTACTTTTATACTTTTTTTTTGAGTCAGAGTCTCACTCTGCCACCCAGGATGGAGTGCAGTGGCACGCTTACAGCCACCGCAGCCTCAACATGCTGGGTTCAGGGGATCCTTCTGCCTCAGTCTTCCAAGTAGCTGGAACTACAGGCATGCACCACCACGCCTGGCTAATTTTTAAAAAATTTATTGTAGAGATGAGGTCTTAACAAGTTGCCCAGGCTGGTCTCGAACCCATGGGTTCAGGCAATCCTCTTACCTCATCCTCTCAAAGTGCTAGGATTTAGGCGTGAGCCACCATGCCTGGCCCTTTCATACATTTTATAATTTTATAGAATTTACAGAGATGGTGGGTTAAGCTTATTTTAGGCTTAGTCACAGAATACATAGTACATTAGCATTCCTAAAACACTTCAGTTCTCTTGATCTGGGACCATGCCTTACTCTTCTCAATGTACCTGGAGAACTATACAAAGCATTTTGCACACACAGTAATAGGTGTTCAAGAAGTGTCTTTTAAAAATTTTTAAATGTGCTTTTTTTTTTAGAAACAATGTTGCCCGGGTTGTACAGTGGCATAATCACTGCAGGCTCGAACTCCTGGGCTCAAACAATCCTCCTATCTCGGCCTCCCAAGTAGCTGGAACTACAGGTGTGTGCCACCATGCGCCCAGCTAGTTTTAAATTTTTTTGTAGACATAGAGTCTTGCTTTGTTACCTAGGTTGGTCTAAAACTGCTGGCCTCAAGTGATCCTCCTGTCTCAGTCTCCCAAAACACTGGGATTACAGGTGTGAGCCACTGTACCCGGCCTCAGCATCTTATTGGACTATACTGGACAAAAGAATGCATTCTACTTGCGAAATTCCACTGTGTGCAGTATAAACTGTGTGTGAGTGAGGTGTGGTGTGTGTGTGAATGTGTGTGTGTGTGTGTGTGTGTGTGTGTGTGTGTGTGTGAAGATGGGGAAGGCAGGACAACATACCAGATTTACAACCATTCTAGTTGTTTTCAGATGATGACTATGAAAGATAATTGAAGAGTGAACTCCAACAGACTTTACGTATTGGCCACGAGACACTTTCCTCAGAGTAACAACCCTGCACTCAGTGACACGTGCTGGGTTCTTTTGCGCGGCAGTTGCTAACAAACACTTCCCAGGCTGCTGCCATCTAGGTCGTGGGGTTGCAGAGGGCTGGACTCCTGCTGTCTGTGTGGGTAGAGATCAGTGTTTGCTCAACAACACAGGGTTGGTTGGTAAGGAGAAATTTTTTTTCCTTCTCAAGAATACCCTGGAGTCTTTCCAAAAAAGGAGATGACTACACAGAACAATCCACAGAACCAGAGATGGAAAGCCTGTTTTCACACTTGGGAAAAACTAAGCAAGTAAAACAGCACTGTGCACCTTGGTGCACTGGAGGGACACCGGACACCAGAGAGGTCCAAAATGCCCTCCTGCTTGGGGGAGGGCCCTCCAGTCACCTGCTTGCTTCCCACCATGGACACTTTTCTTTCCTTCTTGGGATTTTCCTCTTTCTCCCCATTTTTTCCCTTCTCAAGCACTGCCCCCGTGAAAGCAACTGCAGAATAAAGAGGCTGCCCAAATCCTCTCCCTGGGAGGAGACGGGCTCGTTGAAGGACGGAGACCAGGTGTCATGTCCAGTGCAAGACTGGGCTCTCACCGTCACTGAGAAATCCTCCGACCCCCCGCACAAGAAAACACAGACCTCAAATACTCTTATCTCTTTTATTTTCTTCGTCATTCAAGCTCATTTACAACATTCCAGAAGGGAAAAATAATTTGAGTTTTTAAAACTCAATCTGCCCAAAATGTATTATAATATATGAAACCATGCCATTATCTCTCAGAAAAAAAAGCATTCAAAGTTAATTTGATATTAAAGTTCAAGATGAAGAGTAGCCTCAAAGTATGGCATGTACAAGGTTCAAGTGCAAGAAGTGTTTCCATTCCAACTGCTTGACAGAAATGCTGGAGTGATGCATGTGATTTGAAATACGCAAATCCTTTAAGGTTTCGGAACTAAGTATTAAAATGAAAACAAATGCTGCATAGTTTCAGTGGCTTTCAATTTCCTGTTTGATCTCAGAAACATATGGATGGTCTTTGCCGTGCGCCACTTCCATGATCGCAATGGCCTAGAAAGAGCGAGATGGGACAGGTGAACGGTGAGCGCCGGAAGCTAAGCCCCACACGCCTCCAACCAGCTGCTTTCATCACGTAGGGCCTCGCAGCTTTAAGGCCCGGGATGCAAACTGGTTTTTAGCACCTATGTTCTCCTCTATAATCAAGCACTTTGAAAAAGGAGACAAGATTATCTGGTAACCAACAGGTCATCCAGTCTCTATTGCTGAGTGAAAAACTGTAAAAATGTTTAGATAGTGACTGAAGAAGTGCTATAGAGAAACTGGTTTCATGACATTCTTTTGACCCAATTTTGCCATAATTCCAAGAGCCCAATCTAGACTTTTCAGGGGAAAATGCTTTAAGGACTAAAGTATTTGACTTTATACAACCAAGAAAACAGGTAAATCTTAAACAGAATGGTCCACCATGAACTTTACATGAACTCTATTTTGCTTTTAGTTTACATTACTAATCTGTAAGACTTGGCTAAACTATTATTCCCTTTTTTTTTTTTTGAGTTGGAGTCTCACTCTGTCACCCAGACTGGAGTGGAGTGACCGCTCCCGGCCACCGCAGCCTCAACCTGCTGGGCTCCGGCGCCTCAGCCTTCCAAGTAGCGGAATTACAGGCATACGGTACCACGCCCAGCTAATTTTTTTATTTATTGTAGAGATGAGGTCTCGCCAAGTTGCCCGGGCTGGTCTCGAACCCGCGGGCTCAGCCAATCCACTCACCTCGGCCTCTCAAAGTGCTGGAATTACAGGCTGAGCCACCCAGCCTGGCCTATTCCCTTTCAAAAGGCCATGTTTTTTCCTTTTAATACATCTTCTAAAAAAAACCAACTTAAAAATAGATGCAGGTTTCATTGGGGGATGTTAGACAGAACACACTTAAGGTTTGTTTATATCGAGGCCATGTAAAGCAGCCTGGAATCCAGTGGCTTAATCACTTCCTGCCTGTGTGACCTTGGGCAATTTACTGAACCACTCTATGCCTTACATGCCCCATCTGCAAAAACATGAAATAATACCTACCTCCCAGGGTTGTTCATTTACATAGTGTTTCAAACAATGCCTGACATACAGGAAGAATGTATCAAATGTGATCTATGAGAATTTACTTGCTCCTTTGTATTCAACTGAATGACTGACAGATAGAAAAACTTCCATTACTCCCCCAGTCAGGGGATTCTTGATGGTCTGTGACTACGACAGGGATTCCTGTATACCATCCATTCTCCTTCTAGATCTCAAACAAGCAGGCGGCAGGCAAGGCACTGTGCGAGCCTTTGGAAATCCCGTCTCAAGGGCCCATCTTGCCCTCTGCACTCATTTCAAGACTCCGGCTCCAGCCTTCTCTGATCGGTCACTTAATTACCTGCCAGCACTTTGCACTTGGGACCTAACTGGCTAATGTTTCCCTCAGCCTCACTAAGACAATACAAATGTTATCTCAGAAGACAAATCTCATGGTTTAAGATGGAAACTTGGTTTCCCCCTGGCTTCCAGCCTGGCTGGGCCCTGACCCTTCTAAGTGGGATGTGGGGCCTGACCCCATCTTCCTAGATAGTCTACCGGAAAGCATTGGAGAATGTGGAAGAGGAGGCCTGCAGGGTTAGTCCATGGGTCCAGCATTTATAAAATCTCCGACAGGGGTAAACAGACTGTCCTCCAACTTACACTGAATTAACTGTTACCTTCCACATTAAGGACAAAGAGAAAATAGCCGGGTTCGGTGGCTCAGCCTGTAATCCCGCGCCTTTGGGAGGCTGAGGTGAGTGGATTGCCTGAGCCTGCGGGTTCTAGACCCGCCTGGG